CCTTGGATCGTTGGGTCCCCACCACACACCGATGCCAGCGACGGCACCAGGCCCCCCGTTCCCCTTACACGCACCGTCCGAGTACACAATCTCTACGGTGGTATTCTTGGGAGCAGCTATCCTCGGAAGCTGGACCGGCGCTGGTGCGGGGGTAGGGGCCACGACCCTAGGCACGGATTGAGGTACCAGCTTCGGAACGGTCGTCGGAGATGGCTTCGATCGTACGGGAGAAACCCCTACGCTCCTCGAGCTCCTTGGAACAACATTGGAAGCTGATACGGTGGATGTGCTGGGTGTGGTGGTCGTAGGTTGTGGGTTCGCGGGGCGTTGTGGAAGATTAGTCTTGTACCACTGCTCCGCCTCGGGCAGTGTCTTGAACTTTTTGAACTTGGCTCCAGGGAATCCCTGGACGTGCGACTGGGCTTCGTCCCTGCAGATGGACACCTTTCAGCCACGTTTTCAAAACTACCCACACTGCATGTAGATCTCAGGAGCAGATCTCGAGCGATGACCTCTCTCAAACACGAAGCGACTGAGGACACATACCAAGTCGTGAACACGCCGATCTCACGCCCCTTGCAGACGGCGTAGAAACCTGTAACTACCTTTGGCATCGCAGAGGGATCGGATTTTTGCCAAGAAGGGTGGTTGGCAGCCCTCAGTATAACACGAGTCGCTCTGAACGACCTCAGCGTGGCTATAGATCGCGCGAACGCGTCAGCTGAGTTTTGTGTTATGAGCGTCACGTGGCCGGGTTTCACTTCTGGAAGTTCCCGAACGCGGTCCCGGGCCGAACCCCGATGGAACGCAGGAAATTGGCAGTGACTATAGGACTCAGACTCCTTCTTCCAAAAGCTCATCGAAAGCTCCATCGTCTTGCATTAAAAATCTTGATCTGTGACTCAAATTTTCTATGCAGTTATAATCTCCTGATACCGCGCCATCATTGTAGGGTTTACCATATATAACGAGTAGATTCAGAGGTAGTGATCAGAAGGGAAACGAGTAGGTAAACATGAAAATGGAGATGGATCATGGTCCACGTTCTGCATTTTCTTCATCGAGAAGTGCCTCCAGCTCAATGGGAACAAGATCCCAACCCCCTCTGCGAAGCTCCCTGACCACCACTTCTGACTTTCCACCCAGAACATCCCGTATGCGGTCAGTGAAGAGACCTGCTTCCTCCGTTTCAAAGCCACCATTCCAGATCCATTGGATGCAGATTTTCTTGAGCGACTTGAAATGCCCGGGCTCCGCGAGAGCTTCTGCGATGCCTTCAAGAACCCCCAGGTTCACATCCGTCAACCGGATTTCCTCGACCATCGACGCTCGCTTCATGAACGCAGAAATGCAAGCAGCTTTGGATTTCACCCAGGAGATCGACAGTCTCTTCAGTCCGCGCATGGAGATCCACGGACCTGGGAGGTCCTCTCCCCTGGAAGCTTCTGATCCAAGCCCTTCGAGGGTTTCTAAGATACCGGACGAATCTTCGTGGTGACTAAACAACCCTGAGCCACACAATCTGTGGCTGCCAAGTCCACTTTCCGTATCGGACAGGACAAGCGTCTCCAACGTCTCCGGTATTTGCAGTAGCAGGAGAATGTTACACGCGAAGTCGGGGCACGTCCATCCTAATTTGAGGTGCTTCAATGCGGGTAGATGCACGGGCGAAGGCCAAGGTTGCCAGGCCTGGACTATGACTGGGCCATACCCAGTGACCTCCAAAACTTCAAGCTCAGGAGATGAGGCCAAGAATGAGGCGAAGTATTGGAGGTTCGGACCAAAGTTGTGGGAATCGTATTTAATCTCCAGTTTGCGGAGGTTCCGGAGAGAGGCCGCAGCAGATTCATGGTGCACTGGTATACCAATGATGGATGCCTCCCGGAGTCTTGGCATGAAGGGACCGTCACTGCCAAACTGGATCGGCGGTTCTGTGAACTCCCAAGGGAGGAGACGGACGGTCATAGCCGCTAGAACCTCGTCGTGTCGTTCGATACATAGAGACTCCAGTGAAGGAAGGTCTGAGATTGACCGTACCTCGAAGAACTCGCAGACTGGACTCCAGGTATCCGACCTGATGGAGAGAGACCTCCAGCGGTGCTCAGTACCCTGGAGCACCACAATCATAGCCTGAAGCCTGCCAGGAATCGCCAACGGGTGTTGATCTGCCCCTGTGCAGATGTCCCACTCTGGATCGTGGAGAATTATCTCGACGTCGATGGGCTTCTGCGCGGAAGCTACGAGCCACTTTTGTGCGGCGGAAAGTTTGTTGGTGAGGAAGGGGTAGGTCAGGGTAACTTTGGTCCATAGGTCCGATGTTGCATTGGCGATATTGTTCCAGTTTTTGTCCACGAGGCAAAGGGTTTTGACCGCATGAGAGCGATTCTCTTCCGATGAGAGGACGACAAATTTGAAGATCTCCACCTTGAGCTCCAGAGGAAAATTGGTGATAGGGCCCTGCTGGGACGCAATGTCACACTGGCTGCCTTTCGATGTACGAATGACTTGGGACATGGCAACTTAAGTCCTGAAAGAGCTCGTCAAGATGAGCAGATGAAATGGACGACTTGAACAACGTACAACCGCGGGGTTCGAGGGGGTTGTCGTCCCTGGGGCGTTCGATGCGCCTTATATATAAGTATAAGCGCATCCCAAACGTAGCCTCGCATAGCCGTGGTTTCTGCCAGGGACATGGCAACGTTAGCCACGGATCGCGAAGCCACACCAAGGCCGTAGTCTTCGGGCCATGGGTTAACCAAGGAGGTAGACCTAGCGCGCGGTGCACAGGCTTCTTTGTTCCCTAACGGCTTCCGTGATTTTTCACGGTCGTTGTAAGAATAGAAGTGGGATAGAAGGTCAGCCGATAACGGCTGTTGCCGGTCCACCGACACAACGTTGCAACAGATCCAACTGGGTTGACCTCCCGATGCTTCCAAGGGCGCCTTACCAAGTTCTTAGCCTTTGTGATCGTCTTTGGCCGTGCAATGTTTGGAGTTCGAGGACAATTTCTCGGTGCGGCCCTGCATTGGACTTGTCGTCAGCCCCGTCGGCGGCCGTTTTGTGAATTTCCCGGGTAGATGGATATCCCCATTGAAAGATGTGAGTCGGTCGTGGGGACCGAGGGTTCGCTTGGACCTGTGTTGTACATTGACCCTGGTCGCAGGAGGGATGTCACGCCTGGCGATCGGAAACGAAGATTTCCGTGGATGACGGCCGTGTCGACGGACTCCTCCTCTATGTTTCCTGCTGATACCTGCGAGAAACGGGATGGCAATGGCTGCTGAAAGAGTGCGGGTTCGTGCGGGGTCCAGCCGGCCAATCCATGTCGTCCGAGGGCCAGTGCGCCGCGATCTGGGCCCGTTCCTCCTCCGACCTGGCCTTTGCAATTGTATCCTCCTTTGGCTGCTTGCTGCGTGTCATGGCCTGCCCGTAGTTTTACACGGCGGGCACCCAGCCCTCCGGCTCGAAGCCTAACATGTTCCGGTACGCCTCTAGAGTCTCGTCCGCTTTTCTCTGTTCCGCATCCAGCTCCATTGTCTCGCGTACGTCCTCGGCGCGCCGAACACGACAAGCCACGGCTAGCCTCCCCCTTTAAGCGTCCCCCAGTTCTTCGTTCCTTCTACTAGTGCGAAATAGGGTCATTGTAGTTCTGGAGCCGCTCAGGGATTCCGGCAAGGAGAAATTGAGGTGTGCCAGCTGATCAGGCCGATGCAATGTAGAGTCGGGCGTCCTGGAAACGATGACATTGCTCAGCTGGGGGTCAGGATAGCGGATGCAAAAATGACTGGGGGCCTGGTTCCTGGGGATAAGTGACTACGCGATGATGAGATAGCGGTCCTGGTTCTCGATGTGATTCGACGGCGGCTGCTCCTGGTACTTGTAACCTTCCCTCCTTGCGCGCTGGAGTGGCAACAGCGGTCGACCGAACTGCTCTAGATGAGCTCGTTCCTTGGCGGCACCTCTTACGAGCGCTACTCGGCACTTTCGTCTATAGGTAACAGTTAGTTCAAGGGAGCAATAAAAAGGGAAGAGAGCGGCCTACATGGTCCTCAGTCTACGTCGAGCTGTGATTTCCCGCCTAACCACAGTGGCAATCTTGTATCTGGACAGACGCAGAAACGCTCATCCACTAGCGGGGTGTCCAGCCCCCCAGGTCACCTTCTCCAAGTCTTTAGTATAGTACAGGTTTCCACCAGCTGGGAAAGGCATCAACATCATCCTCGACCCGAGTTCAGAAAGTTGGCGTGAGATTGACTTGATGTCCGCTTTGTATACCTCAGGTATAGGCAGCCCAGAGGAACGGAGTAAGGCCACAGTAGCCCCTTCACTCCTTCACTAGCGACAGCGAAGTACTTGGAAATCGCAGCCGGGTGCGGGACACGCGCCACCATTTGGAAGCCCCCGCGCATTGTAATGAGGAAGGGACGGTTAAACCCACCCTCGGCGAGTTTTATCAGGTCGAAGATATCATCAGGACTCCGATTGATGGACTCTGCGGCAGGTAGACGTAGCCCATTGACGTTGAAGACACGTCTGCGCTCTGCATGGCGAAGGAAATCGTTGATACTGGACATGTTGGATTACGGGTTAGACGCACACCCCATAGAATAACATGTATGAGACCTACATCTACCGCCATGAGGTGTAGTCAAAAAGGTTGCTACGAAGCTGCGACATGATAGAGAACGCGCGACGTGGCGGCCGACGGGTCGAGGTGGCAATGGAGCTCGAGTAGGAAAAGTGCAATGAACGCAGCGAGGAGCGGGGACGCCGCAAAGACAGTGAGACTGGAACTGCCAGCAAGTCACCGAAGTCAAGCCTCGCGCTCCCAAGACAGGGCATGTCAGTAAGGTGAAAAATCAATCGAAAAGTACAGGGTCGCAGGCGCCATCGCCAGCACCGAATGCATTTCCAGAAAAAATGCGCATGCAACGATTTGTTGTCACCGTGGTTAAGAGGAGGCCACGATCATAGGTAAAGTGCAGCAAATTTCTGAGCAGGTCCGTATCGATTAGGGGTTAAATCACTTCGTTGTGGTGTTCATTCCGAAGAGCCGCTGGTTCGATTCCAGCTACGGACATTTTTTACTTCCTTTTGGTCGGCGATATGACGAGACTTCCAGAAGACTTGGCTCAATATGTACACGGTACAGACAATGCTGAAAACATTGATTTGTACACCGAAGTGCCCTCCATCCTCACGTTCATTGTACTCGAAGATATCAGGCACGATTTCACTATCGAACGTCCGGGAAATACAACAAAGCAATAAAGGAGGTCGGTTCTCCCAAAGCCCATTCATGGCTATACATGAACTCCGATACGCCAGGAGTGAAATTGTGCCCGGGGAACATCTACTCATTTCAGCCGAAACTGTCATTGCCACTGATATATATCGAGGGGGTTAACACGAATCTGGAGCCTGAAGAAGGGAGCAGAATAGGAGCAGAAGCCGCTATGGAAGAAGAGGGGTCAGGGTCACTTTCAATCGGATGACGCCAAGGCAAAGCTTGAGGATGCGGCCAGCAAGAGACACAGATGAACGAGACTCAACGCCGCGGAGGACAAAAGAAATGGGGTGAAGAGAAGAGGAATCCTAAGGTATCCGATCAACGACGAAGAGTGGGATTTGCGTGCGTTTTACGTTGTACTTTCACTATCCTTCTGTTGCGGGATGATGGCGATGACGGAGAGAAAATCTGGACGATTGTGTTGGAGGAAATGGTAGAGTCTGTCTCAACGACTTTTGGGTCAATTCCCAGCAATGGCTTCTTATAAGCGAGATACCGTCGCAGAGTGTTTGCCGGGCCAGAAGGGGGACGAAGATCCCGGTAGTAAACCGACGGTGAACCACTGTAGTATCTTGAAAATCGGATCAAACCTATGATAACGACATTGAACAGGGCGACGAGCGTGGAGGCCCACTTACTCTGGGGAGGTCGTGCCCATCCAAAGAGTCGATAACAGGTTCGATTCTGGCAAAAGCGGTGGAGCCTCCTTCGAATCGTCGAGTACCATCTTCCCTAACATCGAACTGAACGCAATATCTCCTTACAGGCTTTGGAACGCCGGTTGGCCCAATCCCTTCCGGGTATGATTACGCAGAAAACACGACTTAGACCGCGAACTACATCCGAACGAAACACAATCTATATAAACCTCATCAGTGACGCAAGTCCTCATCCCCAGCAAACGCATGCTCCTTAAAGTGTAAGACCTCCTCCACAAACTCTCTGGGGTCGTGACACCCTTGCTCGGCCGTCAACTCCTGCCAAACCTTTACCGGAAGTAGGACAGATGTTCTCATATCCTCGAACAAAAGTGCCTCCTCGTCGGATATGGATAATGTGCGGCGATCCAGCGCTACACGGTCGTCGAAAGCTTCAAAATCTTCATCGTTGAGTCGGTATTCAATTGCGGAGGGGTAGGTACGCGTGGGGACGATCCTCGCTCCGTGAACTGTATATTGGTAGCATCCAGTCCAAGGGAAGGGCTTGGGGCGGAGGGGTCTGCGCCCGTCGATGTCTCCTCGATTCATTGGGGCGATCGGTATCGCGAACGAGTCGCTCTCCGCACTGTATCCAGAGCCTGGAGGAAGCGATTTGCTCACAAATGCGATGTCATAACCCTGCAGGTCCGAATCATTCTCCCCTCCGAAAGATCCCAGGACGAGACCGACGTATCGCTTCGTGGGAAACTGTGTACAACGCTCGAATAATTCTGAGCTTTCGGGGATGTGAAGTTGGGCCGCGAGGACTCGAGCGTCGAGCTGGAATAGGACGAATGATCCGGGGCGGAGAAACGTCAATGGATCTCGAGTTCGAGTAGGGGGGACGATGGGGGCGAATTTGGCACGATACGAAACCGTAGGGGCAGGACTACAAGGCTGTTGCCATCCACTGTATCCGTCGAGGATGGCGTCGGCAGTTGGGCAACCAGGGGAAATTTGTCCACTGCAAGTAACGAAAACGTTGGCGTGTTCAGGAGTGTCGGGTGTCATCGTAATTGTGTCGCGTTCGAGCGGGGGAGGAGAGAGGGTGCAAGGTGTTGGATTATATATTACGGACTGGGGTGGTCAATGACCATGACCATGGGCACAATCATCGTCCATGAGAAACAAGAAGTATTGTTGTAGCCATCCACGGCGCGTTTACATGCCCTTCCTGACCACGGCATCAAAAATGGGTGCTGGGACCTGAAATAAAAGCTGACCAAAATTAGGTACTCCGCTTTGCAACGGTGGGGCGATAAAGAATCGAACCTGTCCAGATATACGAGGTCTTGACCACCTTCAGATTCCCGCTCTCCACAAATCGAGAGAAAATTCGATCAAATAGTTCCATCGAGGGACTTCCGCATACGTGAAGTTCGAGTTGTAGCTTTTGTCCGTTGTTCAAAGTCCGTTCGGCCAAGTGAGTGATGGCGTCGTCGAATGCCTCCCAGGTCTTGGACGTAAGCTCATCACGTAGGATTGCATCAGAGACAGGCTCCGCGAATCCGATAACAATCCGTTGGATGAGTTTGGAGGTTATGCTTGAGACTATGCCCGTAAGATCGTGGTTCGAAGATTTTATCCCGTTCTTCACGATCGTTACCTCGCGGAGCACCCCACACGCGTCGAAGGAGATATCGGGAGTTTTTTGGTCTGGAAAGCTTTTATCTGGGAAGAGTTAGATTAGCGGGCAGACGGGTAGAGGCCCTGCTTACAACTCTGGAGAGACATGGCTCGGAAATCTACTAGGGTCTCCGCACAGGCGTTAATGAGCTCCTGGTAGTCGTGTCCGTGTTCGTGAAGACATATCTCCCGGAACCGGAGTGGGAGTTGACAAATAACGGAAAAAATGGAGGACTTGTGGACGCGTATCGTCAGACGACCCGATAGCTTTGGCGAGACCAAAAGAACTCGATCTGTTTTGGCCCCTTCGACACGTTCTTTCAGGGATAGGTCCTCCAGGCCGGGTAAATGCCCAAGAAGGACGAGAAAAGAGTCCGGCGTCATTCTCTCCCCGGAAAGTTCGAGTGATCGTAGGTGCCTGCCGAAGTGGCTAAAGTACTTCTTGAGGCCACCCTCAGAAAATCCGGATGGGACCCATCCATCGATGACCAGGCTCTGGACGTTCTTAAAATCGAGGAGGTGGTGGAAGAAGATGTAGAGGTTATCGGTGTTGATCCATCTGCTACGCGGGGTGTTGCCCTGCGCCAAAGTCAATTTGCGGGTGTATCTTGCAGGACTGGCGTCTCCAGTCGGCATGATTTTCTGCCATCGGCGGTGGGAGAAGAGGACCACGTCGTGGAATAGCCACATCCGACTTCGAGCGACCCAGCTCTTCGATACCAGCGAGCATGCCTCGAGAGTCCTCTGGTTATGAATGAAATCGATGACACAGTCGATGATCTCGGGAGGGAGTGACATTGAGGTAGCGGTTGAAGCGTTGAAGTCGCGTGGATTGGGCTGGAATGCGGCCTCAAGTTCAGAGCGGGGGGCGGGAGGGGGTGGATCGTTATTGAAAGGTTTTTCAATTAGAAGGCCATGGACCAAAACCCCTTCCCGGTTGGCCGGGCCGTGGAGGTCACGCACTTAGCCGGTTATCGGAATTCCCCGACAAGGTCTGAGCGCCTACCGAGCTTGCCAAACCCTGTCGTAGTTCCCTTACACCCACCAACGGAACTCCAGGCTGGCAGGATGCTCTGTAACCTTGGCAGCAACGCCGGCCATCTTTCGGATGTGATGTCATATTTTCGTGTTCCAAATAATCGTGTATGATACGTAAGCAAAGGTCACATAAATTCCCACGCGTCACCATCCTCTCCCTCCCACATCCATTTCCCATCTGGCTGGTCCGAGGCTCGCCTACGAATAAAACCGAGGCAATGGTGGCGGCGCTCAAACGAACGGCGCGTCGCAAATCTAATATTCAGTACAACGAGCAAGAGTCGTCTGAGCTCAGCGATGACGGTGTGGATTCCGATTCTTCCCCTCCGCTACGTAAGAGGGCGCGCGGCAGGACCGTGGGGAGTGGGTTGAAAGCGAAGAAGAGAGGAAAGGCGAAGCAGCAGACGTCTACGTTGTTGGAAATGCCTCTCGACGTGATGTTCGAGGTGAGCTGATTTCTGCGCGTGGAGACGGCTCGGGTTTAGGAAGCTGGCCGGGTTCATGGCATGTAGATCCTCAGTTGTGTGGAACCGAGGGATTTGTTGCAATTGTCTCGGGCGTCCAAGGCCCTTCGGAGAGTCATCATGGACAAATCAAACAAATTCATCTGGGCCAATTCCTTTGCCGCCGACGAAGAGGTACCACAATGCCCGAAGGACATCTCACAACCGGCTTGGGCACAATTATTGTATAGCCCTTACTGTCAGGTCCGTTGCCCGGTGGCCTTCCCCTATCTACCCAATCTTCGATTGAGTCCTCAAACGTGATCTTTTGGGTGTAGCATTGTTATTCTTCGCGGGCTACGGACGTTTACTGGGCTTCATACCGTCGGTTATGCAAAAAATGCCTTCCAGAGGTGTAGGTTTCCACGTAGCGCAAAGGGCGCCGACCCATACTCACGTGCCCTTTCACAGAGTGACGTCTCACACCAAAGCCATGGAAGATGCCGTGGAGATCGGGTTGAGATCCGCTTTCAACGAAGTCGGATTCACCTCATTCAGCAAGGTGCTCCCTGGGCTCAAGTTAAGGGGTGAGAACTCATGGACCCCAAGTGGCATCCAGTGGATTCTTATATCCATCACTTCTAGCTGGGAAACAGGCTTTGTCGTATTACTTTACCGATCACCTCCACGAATTCCTCGAGGCGGCTCTTGAGTGGTATAATTCGCACAGTCGCACGGACATAACCCTTTTTCTTAAAAAGTACGGGGAACGTTTTAAATCTCGTGTACAGGTCGGTCCCTGTTTTCTCTCTTCTTTGTCGCTGTGCGTCGCGAAACTGATTTGGACTGGCCGTTGTGCTGGCTACCGCAGCACGCCGAACTATGCTTTGCTTGGGAAAGGAGCCAGCGTAATCACCGCCAGGAAGAAAAAGAAGAGGAGCGCACCAAGAGATATGAGGAGTAAGCCCTTCTTGGCGACCGTAGT